CACAGGCTGGGAATGTGGCTTTTGCTTTCCTGCTTTGGCCTGCAAACACGTCTGAAGGTGCCGCAGATGCTTCAACAGGCACCTCCAACAGCACACAGCGAATCCTCGACGAATGGCAGGCATCTCCAAATTGCCAGAAGGCGGCCGTGGCACTCCTGGCAGAGACTCCAACGTCGATGGTCCGACAGCGGGCGACAAATACACAGGAAAGCCAGGCCGTACAACATATTACTCCATGCAACCTGGAATATAGAATAAATAAGTTAATATGCACCTTTTAAATCATTAATTTCAACAAATCTTTCAAATTGGCCCCTCTGGCAAACATTGTTTACGTTTTTAATAACATTTACATAAATTCAACAGCTGAGTATGTCCAGTCAGCTGTTCTCAACGCTATCGAAATCAGCCCTGATAACGTTAACAGAGGCACTGTTAATAACAGAAATAGCGCTGTAAAATGTTAAAAAATTCAAATTAGCCCGCCAAACATAATATTAAGTCTGTTAAATGTAAAAATACTTGTAAAATATTTATTTTTCGTAATTTCTCACATAATTGTCCAATGTTGTGATATGCATGTAATTTTTAAGATTGTTTTGTACATGCCAGTAATTTGTCAACTAGTCCGTTTCACATTCAGACCTTTTTTGTACCAATTCTGTCTCTTATATTGTATTGTGAACTAGATGTAAGCAATGAGAAGACAATAAAATGCGACTGCTAACTTAATCGTTAGCAGTTCGTCGTAGCGCAAGCATGCGCAGCAATTTAACATTAAAATAAATGACAGCAAATCAGCACATGTGGTGTATACATTACGATCGTTGGACAGAAGGATGACGGACCCAGCTATACGCCTTAACGGCCAACTAATTGCCTCCAAATCAAGGCAAAAGTATCTGGGCGTCCATCTGGATCGTAAACTCCACATGCAGCACCATGTCACGCAACTACGCTGCAGACTTAAAGCACTCTACAAGAAATTAGAGTGGCTCATAGGCAAAAAGAGCATGTTGTCTGTAGAGTGCAAAATCACCATTTACAAGCAACTTGTTGCACCAATATGGAGATATGCTTTGCCGATCTGGGGTGCCATGATTTCTGACACACAGCTGCGCCGAATAGAATCCACACAGAGCTGGATTCTAAGGAAAATAGTAAAGGCCTCTTGGTGGATAAGGAACCAAGACATTCGCGAAACATACGACATAGGCACAGTGGATGAGATATTCAATATCACAAGCAAAAGATTCGCCAACTCACTTGCAATCCATCCAAATGCCAATGCTCGTAAACTCATCGCAAGTCCGTATGTGCCAATTCGTCTTGAACGGCAAAGATATACCCAGCAACTACAACAACATGTTCGACCTCTCCAGCAATTATTGCAGCAATCCCAAGAGCAACAACAGCTGCCAACTCTTCTACGTTTGGAGCATGAAGAAGACGAAGCCAATACGCTCAGAAGGCAACAGGAACAGCAACAACAGGCTAGACAACAAGCACCAGTCAGGTTCAGCGAGATGAGAATAAACTCACTCAGACGGCAATATAGGGAAGGACGAATGTCGCTTGATGACCTAAAGCTGGCCATTATTGACCAGCCATTGGTAATCCAGCAACTAGTATTGCCTCGAGAGCTGGCTATAGAAATATACCGGCAGCAACAGCAACAGCAGCAACAACAACAGCAACAACATCCTGAAGAACAAGAACAGCAGCTTGAAGGACACCAGCAACAGCAAAATCAAACGCCTGATGTTGAAATAGTGCTAGCTACAGCACAGCAGCATACTGAACAACAATCAGCACGGCCACCCTCGCAACCCCAGCAAGCCCGCTTACAGCAGCAACGGCTAACTGAGGATGAACAGCAGCTTGAGCAGCGACTGGAAATACTCAGTCGGCAGCTCGAGCGTGAGATAGATGAGGCCCCTAGCAATGAGCCAATCCTGCAGCAGCGACCACCAGAGCAGCAGCAATTAAATCAGCAACAACACACAATAGCCCAACCTGAAAACAATACTAATACAAGCAACTCAGTTTGTGAAACTAAAACAAATTTTTCTTCTCCACAGAGCATAACAATAGCCCCATACAGCCCCACAAACATTGCCATAAACGCTCCCCGGCAACTGAGCCAGCACGTGTCCACACAACAGCTTCACCAGCAGCATCCAAATTGTCGCCAGCAGACTCAACAGCAACAGCGGGAGGTAGACGAGACGCAGTCAACAACACGGGCAGCTAAAAGGCAAAGAAGTCGTTCAGTAATCCATATTGAACCTAAACGACGCTCACCTGCAACTCCGGAAAATCAGCAACAGCGGCAACTTCTTACCTTACTTGGTAAAAGGCACTCGCCGGGTCCAGCCCAACACAACTGCTGGCCTCCAAAGCGCCAGAGACCCGTGCTACAGCGGCAGCAGCAGCGGCAAGTATGCTTGCGACGAACACGGCAAAGCAACTGGCAGCTGCAAATGCCCCACAGGCTGGGAATGTGGCTTTTGCTTTCCTGCTTTGGCCTGCAAACACGTCAGAAGGTGCCCCAGATGCTTGAGCAGGCACCTCCTACAGCACACAGCGAATCCTCGACGAATGGCAGGCATCTCCAAATTGCCAGAAGGCGCCCGTGGCACTCCTGGCAGAGACTCCAACGTCGATGGTCCGATAGCGGGCGGCAAATACATAGAAAAGCCAGGCCGTTCAACATATTACTCCATGCAACCTGGAATATAGAATAAATTAAGTTAATTTGCACTTTTTAAAACAATAATTTCACAAATCTTATAAATTAGCCCCTCTGGCAAACATTGTTTACGTTTTTAAATAACATTAACATAAATTCAACAGCTGAGTATGTCCAGTCAGCTGTTCTAAATGCAATCGAAATCAACCCTGATAATGTTAACAGAGGCACTGTTAATAACAGAAATAGCGCTGTAAAATGTTAAAAAATTCAAATTAGCCCGCCAAACATAATATTAAGTCTGTTAAATGTAAAAATACTTGTAAAATATTTATTTTTCGTAATTTCTCACATAATTGTCCAATGTTGTGATATGCATGTAATTTTTAAGATTGTTTTGTACATGCCAGTAATTTGTCAACTAGTCCGTTTCACATTCAGACCTTTTTTTGTACCAATTCTGTCTCTTATATTGTATTGTGAACTAGATGTAAGCAATGAGAAGACAATAAAATGCGACTGCTAACTTAATCGTTAGCAGTTCGTCGTAGCGCAAGCATGCGCAGCAATTTAAAAAACAATTTAAAAACAATTTAAAAAAAAAAAAAAAAAAAAGCAACTTAAAAACAACTTAAAAAAAGCAATTTAAAATTAAACAATTTAAAAAATCAGAATTTTTCAATTCTAACAAATAACAAAAAACACAATTTAAAAATCAGAATTTTTCAATTCTAATAACTAACTAAGTTTGCAAATATATTAGTGAAGTTATACTGTGATATTGCTAAACAGGCATAGTGGCAAGCAAATGCACTAAATATTTAAAAGGTGCTAAAGTGGGGAAAGACAAACATAACTGCACCAGAAATAGTATATAAAGTGCATAAATGCAAAAACCAACTGTGTTTAAAAGCCCGCCTAAAAGTCCGCATAACGCTTCTGAAATTACCGCAAACTCGGCTGCCCCCCCTCACCGCGCAACCGAAGAATGCAGCATAAGTGAAATAGCGAAAAGCGAACTTTCACAGTTGCAGCAACAGCTCACAAAAAATCCGCAAAAGCAGCTCAGCCGAGAACACCGACGACAGCAGTTGCTAAGGCTATGCGAAGAGGAGGAAAGGCCAATGCCCGATGTCCCAGCGCAGCAGCCGACGCTTACGCTCAAGCATAAGCCGAAGCTGAAAACAGTTCCCGCCAACTCTTCACCGCCCAGCTCGGCACCGCTGAGAATGTCTTTGACGAAGTCGTCGAAAGTTAAGGCAAGGAAAGAGAGCCAATTATCCGCCTGCAAAGAGAAAAGTTCAGAAGAGAATAACTATGTCAATGTGTTGGAGTCTGACGATGAGAGCGACATAGTAGCCAATAAAAATTATAACCAGCTGCAACAGCAGACAACTATTGCACAGGTACATAATTTCAATACAAATACAAGCATAACTAGCTCTCCCAAAGCAGCCTCTCACTGTGATCCATCGCCAAATGTATCAGCAGACGAAGTTGAACTTCATAATGCTGATGGCACAAGAGAAGCTGGTTATGTTAATAACACTGATGATCTAACAGACGATCTAGACAACGATGATGAAGATGACTGTTACCGGCCGGCCGCTGTTATTAACAGCCCAGCTGCTGACATGCTTAACAGAACAACTACTGTAGAGCTTAACAGCACAGTCACTGCTAAAAGAGGAGAAACACTTGCAAATGTAAAAACAGCTGATGCATTTGCTGCCAATAATATCAACAGTATTACCTTTGAAGAGATGGAGCCAATTCTACCAAAAATAACGCCAACAGTAGCAAAAGGACCGAAGTTTAATTGCTCTATGCTACCTACAATTTCCTTGTCTGCCAAGAAAAGTTTGAAACGTAAAGTTACGCTGCCGCAACAAAGCAAACAAAAGCGAGCACAGACTCTGGCAGAACAAGGAAACTCACGACCAGCCATGAAGATACAGGACTTCTTGAAGCCAACAGGAAGAGTAACTAAATCAACAAATAAAGCAGCTACAATCAACAAATATAAAAAAAACAATCGTAATACTAAAAATATTAACCCTTCTAGCAGTTCTAAACTCAACAACAGCAGCATGGATATTGACCTGGATAGCAGTGACATTTCATCCAATAATACAGGCTCTGATGATGACATCGTTCAGATTCAGAGCAATGTGCAAGTGGATCCAAATCAGGCCATGCTAGCCCAGCAACAACAACAGCAGCAACAACAACAACAGCAGCAACAACAGCAGCAACAACAACAACCGCAGCAGGAACAACAACAACAGCAGCAGTCAACTAAAAGCACGAAAATTCCAACAATATTTCTGCCCAGCATAAGTGACATTCAACCAATAATTGATATGCTCAATAACACAGTGGGTGCCAATAAATACACAACAAAGTGCACACAAAACGATGGAGTCCGAGTGCAATGCAGCGACGTACTAGCGTATAATGCAGCTATTGCGCTGCTCGGCGCCAATACGGAAATACAAATGCACACCCACCAAATGCGAAGCGAGCGGGGATACCGTGTTTTATTAAAAAATGTACACCACTCCACGTCATGCGAGCTAATTCGAGCAGAATTGGCAAGACATGGACACACGGTTCGATATGCTAGCGTCGTCAAACATCGATTTGAGCGACGGCCACTTAACATGTTTGAAGTCGAACTGGCACCAAACGGCGACACCAATGACAAAGTGCTGGAACTGAGAACTTTGGGAAATCAGCATATTGAAGTTGAAAGACAGCTGAAGCGAGACGAGCCTGTACAGTGCCATCGGTGCCAATCGTTTGGGCATAGCAAGAACTACTGTCGTAGACCTTTTGCATGCCTCAAATGCGGCGAACAGCACCCGACAACAACATGTACAAAAGCAAGAAACACACCAGCTAAGTGCGTCAACTGCAAGGCGGATCACATAGCCAGCTTCAAGGGATGCAGTGTGTACAAAATGGAGCGGGAAAAACTAGCAGCAAATCGTGTCCGGGCGGCAATCGACAAGCAGCAGCAACAGCAACATCAGCAGCAGCAGCAGCAACATAGGCAACTACAACGACAACAACAACATCAACAGCAGCAACAACAACAACAACATCGGCAGCTACAACAACAACATCACCAGCAGCAGCAACAGCAACAATGCCCGCAGCAACAACTCCCAGCAAATAATACTTCAGCTCCTAGTGGACCTAAGTCGACTCAGGAACGGAAGCAGCAACAGCAGCAACTTCGGCAACAACAGCAAACACAGCAGCAACAACAACAGCAGCAGCAACATCAGCAGCTGAAGCCGATAAGTAAACTGACTTATAGCCAAGTAGCCAGTGGACAAGCAAATTCGAGCCGGACTCACAACCCAGCCATGCAACACCTCAAGAAGTATCAACAACAACTACAACTGGAACAGAAACAGCAGCAACATCAACAGCAGCAACATCAGCAACACCAACAGCAGCAACAACAACAACAGCAACATCAACAGCAGCAACTACAGCCTGTACAGCAGCAGCAACTACCGAGGCAGCAGCGCCAGAGGCAGCAACAGCAACTGGAGCATCAAAAACACCAGCAACACCAACGACAGCAAAAGCAGCAACCACTTGAGCAACAGCAGAGGCAGCAGCAGCAATCGCAACAACAACAACATACCCAGCAGGCGGACACACCACTATTGGAGGCGCTGCAGCAAAACATGATAAGTATCAATGAGATGTCTAAGAAATTAGACATGCTAATAAGTCTGCTGCTCACAATGGCAGCAAACAACAATAACATCAATAAACAACAAGCACAATCAATCCCACTAACAACATCAACCCCCGATACTCTCAATAATGCAAATAAAACACATAATATTTCAAATTTAATGAGTACATTGCTTAGCACTTTTCAGCCAATAGTCAATAGCCCGATGGCAAACGCCAATGGTGAACACATGGCCACTGACATTAGCCAGTATGTCTAGAACAAACAGCACCAACAATGCCAGCACTTCTGCCACATCGACTAACCTCAATGATGGCAGAGCTACCACATTTACTACTAGCAACACGTCCACAACTACTACAACAGTCTTTACAAATACCAATAGCCCATTGGACAACATAATAAGGCCAAACGCTTCCCTGAATACAAATAATAGCAGCGACCAATATGTCAACTCTTTTAAAATTGCATATTGGAACGCTGCTGGAGTCAGAAACAAGTTAAACGAATTAGAGGTATTCATGCATCGGCACAAAGTCGACATAATGATGCTAGTTGAGCTAAGAGTAGGACCCAACGATAATAATTCAGGCTCCCCAATTTCTATAAACGGCTACCATACGTATGCTGCAACTCGACCACCCCCAAATCATAGAAGTGGGGGCGTGGCAACACTTGTAAGGCATGGAATCAAACATATTGCTCTTGAAACAATTGTTTTTGAATCCTTGCAATCAGCACCAGTAGCCGTTACCTTGGCAAAAAACGAGACCATCGTACTAGCTCCAATATATTGCCCTCCGCAATATAATTGGGGTGCAGACATGTTTGCCAAGCTCTTTCAACATTTCCAGAAATTGAGCGGGTCTGGGTTTATACTATGCGGCGACTGGAACGCCAAACATTCCTGGTGGGGTAATCAACGCGCTTGTCGACGAGGGGTAGAGCTCATGAGGAGCATACACAGCAACAAGAAGCTGAACATTCTTGCAACAGGTGGGGCTACGCACTTTCCATACTCACATAGGTGCAGGCCATCCGCCATCGACTTTGCTGTTTATAGCGGCATTATAAATGACCGACTACGAACACGCTCTACAATCGACCTTGAATCGGACCATCTTCCGATACACATAGATTTATCAATAGGCAGATTCGCTTTACAAGAAAATAAAACAAAGAGACTGCTTCCTATACAAGCAAACGTAAAAAAATTTCAAAAACACTTAGATTCACATATACGTCTAAACACAGAAATAATATCGGGACCCGATATTGAAGACGCAATCGACATTTTAAACAAAAACATATATAATGCATCCTTAGCAGCAACACCCCCACCTCGTCGACAGCAACAGCAACATAGACATAATACAAACACAAATCGCATGAACCATGGCCGTTTTAAACTAACTAATGAAGCAATTAGGCTATTAGCAATAAAACGGCAATGCAAGAGAGAACATATGGTTCTGCGAACACCTCTAACGAGAAGCCGACTTAGCCAGGCCCAAAATAGACTAAAAAAATCGCTTCTTTTGGCCAAGAGGAAGCAAATAAACAAAATGTTTGAACAGATAGACGCTACAGATCGCTACAAGATGCAAAAACTCTGGCGCATCACCAACAACATCAAACGCCAACCTGAGCCAAACTGGCCACTAAAAATACAAGCGACAAACAACAACAATAGTAGCACCAATAGGGCATTATGGACCAAAACTAGTAGTGAGAAGGCTGAGGCATTTGCTACATACCTGGAGCAACGATTCAGTCCTATTTTCTCTAATACGGCTGAATACAGACTCCAGGTGACAAATGAGATTAATAATAGACAGAAAGCCAAAGACAGCGACAGTAGTGCTGGCGCTGCTGGTGCTATAACGTTTCGCCCAATTACGTACATCGAGGTTACAAAAGAGATTGACGGCTTAACGATAAAAAAAGCTGCAGGCATTGACAATATTGATAATAGAGTCATCAAAGCACTACCCAAGAAGGCAATTCTCTATTTACTCATGATATACAACTGCATATTGAGACATGGGCATTTCCCGCGACAGTGGAAATGTGCTGCCATTAAAACTATATTAAAACCCGGAAAATCGACCGAAAATGTAGCCTCTTATCGACCAATCAGCCTCCTGGCAGGATTTTCCAAAATTTTTGAAAGATTGCTCATGCATAGGCTTTATGAATGCAACGAGTTTGCAAATGCAGTGCCAACACATCAATTTGGCTTCCGCAAAGACCATGGCACTGAGCAGCAACTAGCCCGTGTAACTCAGTTCATCTTGAGTGCATATGAGAAGAAGCAGTTCTGCTCAGCTGTCTACGTCGATATATGCGAAGCATTTGATCGAGTATGGCACGACGGATTGCTCTTGAAGCTAGGCAAGCTGTTGCCTAATGTCCTTTACAACGTCCTCAAGAGCTATCTAACGGATCGCACGTTCATTGTGCATTGCAGTGAGGGAGTAAAATCGAGAATTGGCAAAGTAAGCGCTGGAGTGCCACAGGGCAGCGTACTTGGGCCAATTCTTTATATAATATACACGTCAGATATGCCACTACCACACATAACAACAGCAACACCTTCAGCGACTCTCCCAGAAACCCCATATAATTGTAGTATGCTACTGTCAACGTTTGCGGACGACACAGTGATAATGAGCTCTGCTGACAGAATACATAATGCATTCTATTCAAACCGGTTCTACCTAAACAGATTCGCTAATTGGGCCAACCGTTGGTGCATTAAAATAAATGACAGCAAATCAGCACATGTGGTGTATACATTACGATCGTTGGACAGAAGGATGACGGACCCAGCTTTACGCCTTAACGGCCAACTAATTGCCCCCAAAGCAAGGCAAAAGTATCTGGGCGTCCATCTGGATCGCAAACTCCACATGCAGCACCATGTCACGCAACTACGCTGCAGACTTAAAGCACTCTACAAGAAATTAGAGTGGCTCATAGGCAAAAAGAGCATGTTGTCTGTAGAGTGCAAAATCACCATTTACAAGCAACTTGTTGCACCAATATGGAGATATGCTTTGCCGATCTGGGGTGCCATGATTTCTGACACACAGCTGCGCCGAATAGAATCCACACAGAGCTGGATTCTAAGGAAAATAGTAAAGGCCTCTTGGTGGATAAGGAACCAAGACATTCGCGAAACATACGACATAGGCACAGTGGATGAGATATTCAATATCACAAGCAAAAGATTCGCCAACTCACTTGCAATCCATCCAAATGCCAATGCTCGTAAACTCATCGCAAGTCCGTATGTGCCAATTCGTCTTGAACGGCAAAGATATACCCAGCAACTACAACAACATGTTCGACCTCTCCAGCAATTATTGCAGCAATCCCAAGAGCAACAACAGCTGCCAACTCTTCTACGTTTGGAGCATGAAGAAGACGAAGCCAATACGCTCAGAAGGCAACAGGAACAGCAACAACAGGCTAGACAACAAGCACCAGTCAGGTTCAGCGAGATGAGAATAAACTCACTCAGACGGCAATATAGGGAAGGACGAATGTCGCTTGATGACCTAAAGCTGGCCATTATTGACCAGCCATTGGTAATCCAGCAACTAGTATTGCCTCGAGAGCTGGCTATAGAAATATACCGGCAGCAACAGCAACAGCAGCAACAACAACAGCAACAACATCCTGAAGAACAAGAACAGCAGCTTGAAGGACACCAGCAACAGCAAAATCAAACGCCTGATGTTGAAATAGTGCTAGCTACAGCACAGCAGCATACTGAACAACAATCAGCACGGCCACCCTCGCAACCCCAGCAAGCCCGCTTACAGCAGCAACGGCTAACTGAGGATGAACAGCAGCTTGAGCAGCGACTGGAAATACTCAGTCGGCAGCTCGAGCGTGAGATAGATGAGGCCCCTAGCAATGAGCCAATCCTGCAGCAGCGACCACCAGAGCAGCAGCAATTAAATCAGCAACAACACACAATAGCCCAACCTGAAAACAATACTAATACAAGCAACTCAGTTTGTGAAACTAAAACAAATTTTTCTTCTCCACAGAGCATAACAATAGCCCCATACAGCCCCACAAACATTGCCATAAACGCTCCCCGGCAACTGAGCCAGCACGTGTCCACACAACAGCTTCACCAGCAGCATCCAAATTGTCGCCAGCAGACTCAACAGCAACAGCGGGAGGTAGACGAGACGCAGTCAACAACACGGGCAGCTAAAAGGCAAAGAAGTCGTTCAGTAATCCATATTGAACCTAAACGACGCTCACCTGCAACTCCGGAAAATCAGCAACAGCGGCAACTTCTTACCTTACTTGGTAAAAGGCACTCGCCGGGTCCAGCCCAACACAACTGCTGGCCTCCAAAGCGCCAGAGACCCGTGCTACAGCGGCAGCAGCAGCGGCAAGTATGCTTGCGACGAACACGGCAAAGCAACTGGCAGCTGCAAATGCCCCACAGGCTGGGAATGTGGCTTTTGCTTTCCTGCTTTGGCCTGCAAACACGTCAGAAGGTGCCCCAGATGCTTGAGCAGGCACCTCCTACAGCACACAGCGAATCCTCGACGAATGGCAGGCATCTCCAAATTGCCAGAAGGCGCCCGTGGCACTCCTGGCAGAGACTCCAACGTCGATGGTCCGATAGCGGGCGGCAAATACATAGAAAAGCCAGGCCGTTCAACATATTACTCCATGCAACCTGGAATATAGAATAAATTAAGTTAATTTGCACTTTTTAAAACAATAATTTCACAAATCTTATAAATTAGCCCCTCTGGCAAACATTGTTTACGTTTTTAAATAACATTAACATAAATTCAACAGCTGAGTATGTCCAGTCAGCTGTTCTAAATGCAATCGAAATCAACCCTGATAATGTTAACAGAGGCACTGTTAATAACAGAAATAGCGCTGTAAAATGTTAAAAAATTCAAATTAGCCCGCCAAACATAATATTAAGTCTGTTAAATGTAAAAATACTTGTAAAATATTTATTTTTCGTAATTTCTCACATAATTGTCCAATGTTGTGATATGCATGTAATTTTTAAGATTGTTTTGTACATGCCAGTAATTTGTCAACTAGTCCGTTTCACATTCAGACCTTTTTTTGTACCAATTCTGTCTCTTATATTGTATTGTGAACTAGATGTAAGCAATGAGAAGACAATAAAATGCGACTGCTAACTTAATCGTTAGCAGTTCGTCGTAGCGCAAGCATGCGCAGCAATTTAAAATGGGCGTCCATCTGGATCGTAAACTCCACATGCAGCACCATGTCACGCAACTACGCTGCAGACTTAGAGCACTCTACAAGAAATTAGAATGGCTCATAGGCAAAAAGAGCATGTTGTCTGTAGACTGCAAAATCACCATCTACAAGCAACTTGTTGCACCAATATGGAGATATGCTTTGCCGATTTGGGGTGCCATGATTTCCGACACACAGCTGCGCCGAATAGAATCCACACAAAATTGGATTCTAAGGAAAATAGTAAAGGCCTCTTGGTGGATAAGGAACCAAGACATTCGCGAAACATACGACATAGGCACAGTGGATGAGATATTCAATATCACAAGTAAAAGATTTGCCAATTCACTTGTTATCCATCCAAATGCCAATGCTCGTAAACTCATCGCAAGTCCGTATGTGCCCATTCGTCTCGAACGGCAAAGATATAACCAGCAACTCCAACAACACGTTCGCCCACTACAGCAATTATTGCAGCAATCCCAAGAGCAACAACAGCTGCCAACTCTTCTACGCATGGAACAAGAAGAAGACGAAGCCAATACGCTCAGAAGGCAACAGGAACAGCAACAACAGGCTAGACAACAAGCACCAGTCAGATTCAGTGAGATGAGAATAAACTCACTCAGACGGCAATATAGGGAAGGACGAATGTCGCTTGAGGACCTAAAGCTTGCTATTAGGGACCAGCCATTGATAATCCAGCAACTAGTATTGCCTCGTGAGCTGGCTATAGAAATATACCGGCAGCAACAGCAACAGCAGCAACAACATCCTGAAGAGCAGGAGCAGCAGCTAGAAGTACACCAGCAACAGCAAAATCAAACACCTGATGTTGAAATAGTGCTAGCTACAGCACTGCAGCACACAGAACAACAATCAGAACGGTCACTCTCGCAAACCCAGCACGCCCACTTGCAGCAACAGCGGCTAACTGAGGACGAACGGCAGCTTGAGCAGCGACTGGAAATAATCAGTCGCCAACTCGAGCGTGATATTGATGAGGCTTCTAATAATGAGCCAAGTCAGCAGCAGCGACCACCAGAGCAGCAGCAACAAAAACAGTTACAACATACAATAACTTCAACTGAAACAAACACTACAAATAATAATACATGCAATACAGATTGTGCCACTAAAACCAATTCTTATATTCCACAGAGCATATTAGTCCCACACAGTCGTACAGGCAGCGACACAGATGCTTCTCGGCACCATAGTCAGCAGGTGGCTACACAACAGCTTCACCAACAGCATCCAAATAGTCGCCAGCAGCAACAGCGGGAGGTAGTTGAGGCACTCAGCAGCAACAACACGCAGTCACCACCACGGGCAGCTAAAAGGCAAAGAAGTGGTTCAGTATCCTATATTGAACCTAAAAGACGCTTACCTGCAGCCTATGAAAATCAGCAACAGCGGCAACTTCTTACCTTACTAGGTAAAAGGCACTCCACGGGTGCAGCTCAACACAACCGCTGGCCTCCAAAGCGCCAGAGACTGGTGCAACAGCGGCAGCAGCAGCGTCTAGTGTGCCTGAGACGAACGCGGCCAGGCATATGGCAGCTGCAAATGCCCCACAGGCTGGGAGTATGGCTTCTACTCTCTTGCTTTGGCCTGCAAACACGTCTGAAGGTGCCGCAGATGCTTCAACAGGCACCTCCAACAGCACACAGCGAATCCTCGACGAATGGCAGGCATCTCCAAATTGCCAGAAGGCGGCCGTGGCACTCCTGGCAGAGACTCCAACGTCGATGGTCCGACAGCGGGCGACAAATACACAGGAAAGCCAGGCCGTACAACATATTACTCCATGCAACCTGGAATATAGAATAAATAAGTTAATATGCACCTTTTAAATCATTAATTTCAACAAATCTTTCAAATTGGCCCCTCTGGCAAACATTGTTTACGTTTTTAATAACATTTACATAAATTCAACAGCTGAGTATGTCCAGTCAGCTGTTCTCAACGCTATCGAAATCAGCCCTGATAACGTTAACAGAGGCACTGTTAATAACAGAAATAGCGCTGTAAAATGTTAAAAAATTCAAATTAGCCCGCCAAACATAATATTAAGTCTGTTAAATGTAAAAATACTTGTAAAATATTTATTTTTCGTAATTTCTCACATAATTGTCCAATGTTGTGATATGCATGTAATTTTTAAGATTGTTTTGTACATGCCAGTAATTTGTCAACTAGTCCGTTTCACATTCAGACCTTTTTTGTACCAATTCTGTCTCTTATATTGTATTGTGAACTAGATGTAAGCAATGAGAAGACAATAAAATGCGACTGCTAACTTAATCGTTAGCAGTTCGTCGTAGCGCAAGCATGCGCAGCAATTCAAAAAATTCATTTTCTATTGAGACAAAAAACATCAATTAAAACAAAAGGAAATGAAAATCACATTAAATCATGCCAATAAAATGTTTATTATTAATAAATTTTCTAAAAATAATGTATGAAATATTTGGCAAAACTCATACATGCTAGAAATAATAATAATAATAATAATAAAATTAAAAATTAATAATTAAATTATAGTTAATTATAATTTAGCCAATACACACACATACACACACTATATCATACAATGTACATACGTACAAACACACACACACTATATTATAAAACACAAAATTAATTCTATTTAAAAAGTTGTCATTTAGTAATTAAGCTAAATTTTGTAACACATTTGTTATCTCAAATAAGTATATATATTTAAGGAGAAATATTTGTTAATCCAAAAACAAAAACAGAGAGAAAGAGAATATGAATGTATATCAATAAACTTTCTGGAATGGGTTGCTTGAGTCTGGATGTACGGATCTGAGATGGATTACAGGTGTCCGGATTGTTGGGTCTATGGTCGTGTTTGTAGTTAGAGTTAGATATAATGGATGTTTTGGTGTCTTGCGTGAGACCAGTGTGTGTGATAGGGAGCATGGTTCTATGAGATTAGTTAGAATTAAAATTGAGTGGGCGCCAATAAAGCCGCCCCACTACGACTCGCTTGCTCCTGCACTCACACACACGCTCACCCTTGTACCATACACCCATACGGTCGATTATATCTCGCTCTCACTCACTTCCACACATATACACGCCCTCTCATCTAGCTAGCTCGCTCACGCTAGCAGGCCGATGGGCGGGAGTGCCCAATTTGTCCGTCCCGTTTCCCATCTCGTCCCATCCACGACCCAGCCTCCCACTCAACATTTGTCAACCAGAAAAAAAAAGCAGCATCAATGCAGGGAGTTCTTCGCCATGGCGATAACTCAACACTGCCCGCTGCATCCTCAACCGGTTCCAATTGATTTGTTTTACAAATTGATCAATTAATTGGATGCGGATTCATATGGCCCGGTCCCATTGGCCTATCAACAGTCCATGTCCCATCTATAAAATTATTATACTCACCTCATCGAATTGAAAATTAATAATTACCTGCATTTCTCAATGCAAAACATAATTTATCCAAACAATATAGGTTGCTCAACAGATTGCTATGTGTGCGCGTGTGACCGGCGAGTTTACGTAATTTGTGCATTTTTAAATGCTCAAAACAAATGTAAACAAGCTCAAACACACACACGCTCGCTCGCTCGCATATGCATACAAAATTCCATGTTGCTCGACCATATGCTGGTGCATAATGCGCTCGCTTGCTGGCTTGCACACACACACACGCCGTCAACAACGCTGCCCGGCTGATCGCAATCCTGGCAGCAGCAACAGCAGCAACAACAACAACAACAACTTTGCCCAACCCATCATCTTGGCAACATATAGCCAACACTCTGGCGAGATTGGGTGGGTTCGGGCAAACTGACTGATCGATCCAACATCAACCACAACAACAACAACAACATCATTGGGTACATTTTGCTCCACTCCTGTGGTGGCAATATATATACCCAAGTGCCGTCAACAACAACAACAACAATAGCAACACAAAATCATTAATCTAATCATATAGGATTAACAAATTTTTCTAAAAACTTTTTTGACAAAAATAATTAAACTTACCAAATCAATTTTTGCCACTAATCATTTAGTTATACACCTGAAAACAAAAAACAATAATTAATTAATAATTTGCCAAAAATATATCAATATTAAATACATACATATATGTATATATTGTTCAGCAAGCAAATAACATGCATGCATGCATGTATGCTGACATGCACGCATGTACACATGCACGCATGCAAAACTAGCATACATGCACGCATGCAAGCATAATTATTCATACACATATTGCTACTATTTTAGCCATCACAAATCTATTCAAAACAATTAAAAATATTCAATCATCCATCAATCTAACTCTGCATTCAATAAAAATAGCTAATATTGCCAATCGGCTTTAATTGATAGGCAGCCGGTGCTAGAATATATTTGATTAATTCTATCAAATATAAAAAGAGAGAAGGCACTAGGCGACAAATCACATCCAGTTAGCTATCAAAAAAAAAAAAAAAGCTGTATTAGTCTGATGTTGGGTTAAGATCATCAAGATGGGGTGAATCTTTTTTCCCAAAAAAAATGGGAGATACAAAAATCCTTGTATTGGGAAAACACATTTATTACAGACACCCAATTTTACACAGGATAGCAAATACCAATAGATTGGCATGCTCGTCCGATGTTGTGCACTTGTGGAGTGGCCCAGTGCTGCGTGACTCTGCTTAAAACAATTGTCTCAACAGCAAGCACGCACACTTATAAACGGGAACACACACACACTTCGTGTCGCTGCTCATGTCCAATCCCAGAAGTTGGTAACATTTGCCAAATCTATAGAAAAACAAAAAATCAATCATAAATGGAAAAAATATACTCCTCACCTTGATTCGCTTCAAAATCAATTCAAAACAGACTAATAAGTTAAATATTCAATAAATTAAATTCTCTCATCAAATTTTCTTTTTGCACGGCCCTTGTCAATTAATGCTGGCTTATGGCATATACATATAAATGCCGATGCCGCACAAACTTAAATTGTACGTATCTTTTAATATATAAAAATAAATAACTAATTCTAATCATTTTGGCCTACAACTTGTACATATAAAAAAAAAATAATAAGAGACAAATACTAATCATAAGAAAAACGAATACATCTATCATACAAGTGCATTTATATTGTACAATTTAAATAATAAATTATATATATTTGTAATTGTAAAATTAATCTAAACACAAACTACACATACATGTTAAACACACACACACTAATCATACACATACAACATTTTTTATCATATGTAAGCTGAAAATTTAAGAATAATGTTTTTTATAAATATATACATACGTATATCAATAAAATTTCTGGGATGGTTAGTCGAAGTTTGATGGAACGGAGTGTAATCGAGTCGGTTACATGCGCAACGCTGCCATAACAGATGTGAGTGAGATCATGGGAGTGTGTGCAGCGATTGGTTGGAGCAGGTAGCGAAGTATGCTGCTAGCAGGCACCCATCACAATGCTGCCTCGCCATACCTCGCCGCCCCCCCTCCGTCCACATTGCGAGCACTCTCACTCTCTCTCTCTCTGTCTGTTGGCGATGCGGGTGCTCGGCGTCCCAAGCATGTGCCGCCTCTCAGTTCGTCCCATCCGACCCGGCTTCCCATTCGATTCTCGAACCAGAAAAAAGATTTGAATGCCATGGTCTGCTGGCATTCGAATTTCCTACCTACATGCACCGAAACTCGGCTCTGCAATAACAACATTAGAACCCAAATCGTGTTGTTGTTGTTTCTACGCGCTGCCTTGTAGGAACGACAGAGTAACTCGCACAAACACAGTGGCATCATGCTTCAACTTTTAAGCGATCGAAACAGACGACAAAAGAAAATTTGTTGTTGCTTCCTATGGAGACCAACATAATCTACCTTACCGCCGCATACAGCTTAACACAAGTAAATTATACGAAAATAAATCCGTAAGTATTTACAAAATCTATCACGCAGAAAGCCCAATAATAGCAAATTTTAGAGATTTATAAATATTGATAGTTATAAAATTGAATGCGGCAATGTTCTTGCGTTGACCGACTACTTACGCCATAATTTTTGTTTGCTCTAATTTATTAAATAATAATATTAATGGTAAACAAAAATTTTGTTGTGTGTATATCAAACAGCAAAAGTTTGGCTACGTAGCCACTTATTTTATCTTTAATAATAAATAATGGGTGCGATGCAGAAATTTTAAAAAATTCACAATTTACAAATTCTAAATATTCACTTAACACTATCTAGATGAACTTTAAACTATTGCTGACTTAAACTAATCATGTAAGCTGCTAATCTTCATCGCTCGTTTAATATATTTAAATCAACCAAAAAGGAATAAGACAAGCTTTAAACTGTTGCCCGAAATATTGTATTGTGTTGTATTCACGTACGCACCTAATCTCTCAACCTCTCGTATATTCTTTTTATACCCTGAACCCATTAAAAATGGGTAAACAGGGTGTATTGTATTTGTGCAAATGTATGTAACAGGCAGAAGGAAGCACCTCCGACCCCATAAGGTATATATATTCTTGATCACCATCAATAGCCGAGTCGATACAGCCATGTCTGTCTGTCTGCCTGCCCGTCTGTCCGTATGGATATAAAAGCTAGAGACTTGAAAGCTGTATGTCCTCCTAGTCCCCGCGCAGATCGAGTTTGTTTCCGATATTTGATAACTTGACCCGTTTCCCAGCAATCGATAAAAATCGATATCGAAATCCTGTTTTTTGAGCAAATTGGGTAAATAATAAGAGCTATAGTCACCAAACTTGATAGGTTGCTTCTAGAATAGTATTTATATA